CCCTGGTAGCAACGTGCGGAGGCACTCCCAATTTAGGGTGCAAGGGGCGCTCATCAAAAATGACCGCAGGCCCAGTATGAGGTTGAAGTTCATAGCTCGTTTCGTCTTTGCCGTTGCGATTGGACCACTAGCTCAGTACCCTATCAGTAGCAGAGACTGGGTCAAACACAGCGCTGATCTTCTCTGTTGTCCTCCTTGCTACAGAGTTCATTTGAGGTAAAGCATAATCATTCATTGCAGTCACTGACCTATTTTTATTCCTAGTTGATTAACCCGTTAAGGGCTTGCGCTTCCGAAACCACGCTGTTAAGGCACTTGAAGCATACTTCAACATACTAACGTATTTCGCAATGAAACGGTCTTAGACGGAAGAAATTTGAAATTGAATAGAAATGCGACAGGAATTATGAGACAACCCAATAAAAAGAATAAAAGCAGAAAATAAGATAAAAGCGAGCACTGATTTTAATTCGGCAATCTATTTCGTATGCGCCGCATCTTTGAAAAGAAGAAGTTGTTGGAACTACTTCAATCAGAACAGTTATTCCCAACACTAAGCCCTATGGTGTCCAACTTCACATCATTTTGATCAAAATTGAATAAACTTACCATTGATGTCCTATAGCGATCTCTATGGCAGTATTTGATTCGATTGTGCTCCACATCGAGTGCTCCGAAAGGTATGCTCCTTCGCAATTATTATACACTATAAGAAATCAAGAACAAGAATCTGACGCAGAAAATCGGACCGTTTTTCATGTCTGGGCAGCGCTTCGTCTTCACCTTGTTGGAATACAGTACACGCCATAAAATCTCAAAAGTTCAACGAATGACGGTCACGCGTTTTTTTTCGTTTTTTGTTGTAACTCTGTTTTTGTGATTTTGAACTTTGTGATTTTTTCAAATCTAATGTTACCTTTGAAATCATTTCGTCAAGATCTATTAGGAGATGCCTGTAAATTTTGAAAGTGCTTCGTTCTGTTTTGCTTCACTCACTCAATTTTCATCCCGAGTTGTTGTTTGTGTGTTTGCACAAATGATCCTAGGTACCTATGCAGGACGGTTCCATGAAAGGAAGGGTCCCAAGGCTTGCCCCAGAATGCGCCTTGTACTCGACTTCATTCAGTTTATTGTGATATTAATTGGACATTATTTTCCGAATACCAGAAGCTCTATTTCATTACGAAGCCCTGAATGAGTCATGTGGGCCCTGCATTGGAAATCCCCTTCTCTCGAATCAGATGGGAATCTGAGATCAGATCTCGGCAGGGCTATGAAACCTATTTTGTGAGAAGTTACAATTTTCGAAAGGATGTTCCGTCGGAGTCTAAGAAGGTATGCGGCAAAATCCGTCCACACTCGCGAAGTGTGGTTTCTTGCGATAGAAATTAGCGGCATATTCAGTCGCTGATTGGCGTTTCTAACATGGCGTGGCAGTAAACATTACTCCGCGCCATGCTCTTGTGAAAAGATCAGATTTTTCGTTTTTTTTTTCCAAACGAACCTACAATTCTGAAATGTGCACTGGTCGATTACCCCCATAAAATGCTATTGAATGGTAATAAACACAGGTCAAGTTCAAAACTATGTTTTTTCACCTTTTTTGGGCTTCCTCTTAATGCCGTCCAAAATCTTTAGCCCTTGACGGCCACGTGCGATTTACGTGGCCGCCATGGGCTAAGTACACTGTTGAGACCCATATTTCTATAAAATGGTTAAGTTGCATACCAGGGATTATACAGGGGCGGGGGCAATACAAAACATTTTGTTTGCAGACTACAATGATTTGATGTCACCTGTCAGCTCAAAGCGTGTGTCCCAACTCAGAATTGAAGAGCGCATTTCATTTCATAAGAAATCTTCATAGTGGCCATCTACGTGGACGGCATCAGGAAAATTTGCCCCGGAAACATGGTGCTCTGGTCGAGCTCAGTGGGGTTCTCGACTGATCGTGTACCGTTACGACGGGTTCCGAAGGGCGGGTTGTCGAGGGGGTTTGCATAGTTTGGAGCTAATGTACCTAGGAAACTTATCCCACGTTGAATCGATCCAAGAAATTATGTAAAGAGCTTCAGGTTGAAGCAGTTACTGTAGGCCTCCCTGAGCTCGACGACGGTGACAGATGACGTCATATTCTGAAGACGGTGAGGGTAGTGAAGGAGGGCCTGCGTGTACTTATAGAGGGACATTTAGGAATATTTTGCTGAGAAACTTCCGTCAACGACGGCA